GCCACATACATCTTGTAAGTAATGTGTATACTATATATGCTGATATGTGATAGGATAAGATATATTATAACCGTGTAACAAATTTCGTTGAACTTGTTCAACCGTTTAAGAGTGATTAAGTAACAAATGTCTAAACATCTTTACAATCTTTTAAATTTATTATATTAATAGGATTCCTGTTTATTTCAACTTTCACATAAACAGACGTTTCAAATTCAATTATTACTCAAGGCATTATCTGTGCAATTACTTTATTTAGGTAATTTCTTTTTGTTGTAAAAATAATAGACATATTTTTAGCACTTCACGGGCAGTTATGACTTATGCCACTCTTGTAAATGACAGAGTGGATCGACGGGAGTCTTTCTTTAAATTCTTCAAATCACGTCTATTTTTAATTTCTTTGTGTGTATATCTTTTGTGGCACTGGCATCATTGCTCTCGAACAAATGGACCGATTTCAATGTTATTTTTTTATTTATTTTATAGCTAGTTTTATGAGATTTTTATTAGTTGGCGACAATATAAAAAATAGTATGGCTCCTGGTATCTAAATAAAGAATATTATTATATCCCACCCTTCAAATCAAAACATAAACGAAAGCTTCTACCGCTAAATAATTGTTTCAAGCGTAACTGTGTAACATAACACGAGTTGGACTGACTTGAATGACGTTTGTACAAAGTCTTTTTGATAAGATTGATATAAGGATTTCGATCATACATTCTTTATTTTAAAGCGATTTCCTAAAGAAGAAGGATAAAACATACACTAGTTTTTATGTTAGGTTCATCATCATTATCATCTTAGCCATTTATCCGTCAACTGTAGAACATAAGTCTCCCTCATAGACTGTCTTAAAAAACGGTCCTGAGTCACTTGCATCCACTGATTGCAATGCATTTGAGGTTGTCACACCATCAAGTGGAGGGGTGTCCTGTCCTACATTGCGTTTGCCCGTACGGAGTCCCCACTCAAGAACCTTTCTTCCCCATCGGTTGTCGGTTTTTCGATTATGTTGAGTTAATCCTCCTTAATTAAAATATATTATTGAAATCCTTTCAGCCATTTCATAGGGACAATCATTTAAGATTATTTTTAAGAGTGGGCCTAGTCCCTTAAAAAAGGCGTATATGTACTCACAAACATGTCTTTGTAAAGCTTCGCTCGGGATCCTTGGATGGGCATCCCCCCTCCTCCTTAAATATGCCTATGGATGTGATATTAATTGTACTTGTAAAATAGTTAAAGCTTTAGGTTTCATTGTTTTGCTAGAGGTAATTAAATGAACTAAATGGTCGAAAGAGGGGTAATAACATTCTTTTTAAAACATCACCAAAGCCTAACTGCGGTTGCCAACTCGCCAGCTAAGTGTGGTAACTACTGGCAAAACTTTCCAATAAAGGGAGGCCTTTACAACACAATGTTGGACAATTAACGTTCCATTTTAGTGGTTATGTTAATACGTTGTTATGGGTGGACTTTGTATATAAGGTAAATAAGTAGGTAAATAGGTACTAGTTACCAAAGCTAGTTGAAACTTTGTTTGATTATTATTCAATGACGAATTAAGCTGTGACTCAATTATACGTATAATTAAATCGATATTGAATAATAACATTTATTCATAGGACTTTTGCTGCGTATAATATTCATGTACACGATACAGAGTCCAAATGTTTTTTTTAGAATTGATATCATCTGTTTATTAGGGCAGTTTTCTACCGATACTATTTTTTAGTCTATTATGTATCTATAGTATAGGTGTTCTAAATATTATCTTCAAATATTATTACTGGAATTAATATTGTTATTTTTGATATCTGAGGGTCTACCATGAAATGTTTTACGAAATTTTGGAGCCAAACGAAATACAAATTTGATGTTAAAATTATATAATACATGCCATTTGGAAATAATAAAAATGTTAAAATATTTTTCCTTTGGACTTTTATGATAGGATGTATGACGAATGAAATGTTAAACTCCATTTATTGATCCGATTTTGGTATAAACAAAAACACGAACTTGACTCCGAAATTTCGGAATTTCATTTCATGGTAGACCCGCTGGTTTTCAATATTATGATTACTATTATTATTATTAGTTTAAATCATTATATAAGTACTTGTTTTCTTAATATCATCTTTGATTTTATTAAAGTGAAAAATAAAATCAAAGTAAGAGAATTACAATTTTTTTAATGTATGAGTATATTTTATTTGTATTATACAACACAGAGAATAAAACAATACCAGTTATAAATGAACCGATACTATTGTATTGTAAGTACGTAAGGCTGAAAGCAATCTTTTCAAGACTACCTTAGGGTATGGGACTAATTGTTGTACCTACAAGTAGATATGATATTAATGTATAATTAAGGAAGTTCGAATTATAATATTTCATTGGTAAATTCTATGAGTACAAAGCGTCCCTAATTTTAATTTTTTTTTCTTTTTTATATAATGTACATTATATAAAACATTATTTAAAATTTATGTACGAATACCACTAATATTTTACGTCATACTAAAACACTGATATGTACCATATAATTTCATACTTTTGACACGAATAATGCTGTATGATACTTTTAGTTATTTGTAACTCGTGGCTTTTCTTGCGTGAATTAAGATGAAAATATGTATTTTAACGTTGGATATGAAGTGCATGACGCACGTAAGGACCTCACTGAATATATCGGGACCCTCGTGGTGTTCTGGAACGGCAATGTATGAGTATATTCACGTATATTCACGAGTATATATACGCCGTTCCAGAAGACTGTTGTGTTTTATCTCCGTACCTTGTAAATTCTTTGCCCTATCTTATTCTTCAAATCGAATTAAAGCTCAAGCACAGCTGTTTCATGACAGAAACATGAGAGGAATATAAGTGTCAAATCAAACGACTTTTGTACAATGTCTCCTTCTGGTATTATGTGTGTATTAATGACGTAAGTTGCCTTTCATCATTGACAAAAAAAGTTTTGTTAATAATAAATTATCTTAGGTATAACTTATCTAATCCAAACTGTGTAGTATCTATCTTAATAAGTTTATCATGAAGGCCTTCTGTGAAATACAAATCAATTTAAATATTGCTTAAATATTCAACATAAAACAAATGGACATTTGACGTCATGCAAGATATAATAAATATAATGTCATATATGTATTATAAAATATGAATTAGTTCCTGTGTCTGTCGACAAAATAAAATTCTATTAGCATTGTCGCTAATGGTAAACTACAAAATGTATGTCAACGGGTTTCGTTTATCGCTAATCGCTTATGTCAATTCCCATACATTATGTACTTTTTCAATATGGATAGATCATCGTAGTTTCTCTAGTGATCAAGCCTGGATATTTCAAAACCTTTCGACTGATTTACAATTCGATGATACAAATTACTAGAGCTCAAACTTTTAACGTATGGCTTGGATAATTTCGAGGTTGGATAGCCGATTTCCTGCTGGTGTATCTCGAATCTCAATTGGATTAAGTTGGTATCCAGCAGAAATATTTTTGTATCTGGCACATGTAGTGTGTTAATTGGTAGCTATATATTTTCTTGAGGTTAGAACTATTGCTATTTTGTCGATGAACCACATATTACCAATCGTAAAATTTACTTCATTTTGCAGTTAGTGAAACTGTCAAACATTCAGTAAAAATGTGGCGTGCTTTTGATGTTCCTGTTGGGGATATTAATATAACATTTCACAAATTTTCGCCTGAATCAGTTATAATTTTGTCACAGTTAACCTTCCATTACAATGCCCTACATACTCCACGTCGTAAATCTTTTATTGCCATTGGCTATCAACTTAAATCCTGGCTTGTCACACATCACACACAAATTTTTGCAAGAAGTATATAAGCCGGACTTAAAGGCTGCGGAATAGTATCTTCTGTGACCTGTTTCTTTCTTCTCATTACCGTGGGGTGTTGAATCGAAACCCAAAATTTACCTGATAAAACGATACAGTATACTTAATTTTTTTTTGATGGGTGAAAATGGTATGGTAACTTCGCCTGCGCTAACGGGATACGCTGGCGGAGCACCAGTGAAGGGTGATAGATGAGAATGAAAACAGGCCAGTTAACCCATCATGATAAATTCATCAGGAATTAACCATGATAGTTTCCAGGGAAAACCTCGAGGAGGTCGACCTGGTTGGGTATATTGCTAGCAATAGGATTCTCAGTCTCCATTACTAACAATCCCTTTCCTCCCTAGTATACTTAATTATTGAGGGAATATTTGTCATTAGGCAGAATTCACATTCATGAATTCTGTTCCTGCGTGAACTGTTTGTTTATGTCAAACTGTTATAAAAAAAGGTTTTGTTTCAGCTGTTTGGCAACGGAACATAATAAGTACCACAAACTAAGTCCAAGCTAAAAACTTTGCTATCGTAATTTCTATATCTGCATTTTATAATTTAACTATTAGTTAATTATTGATTTATATCATATACCATACCATAGAACGTTCTGCTGCCTTGTTATTTATCCGTTGAAGCACCTTCACCTGTCATGTCATACATGTCATAATAATGTTCTACGTTATAAAGGCTACAACATAATATTTCATTGGTAAATTCCATAAGTACACAGCGTACTTCTAAATTTTTTTTCTTTAAACTTAACATCTATAAGAACACTTTAGACGGATGGATGTGCGTGGCTCTTATCAGCAACGAGGCAACAATGCATGCTCTTACCAAGTTCGTCTAATGAATACGTCGTTTTACATATAGCGTCTGCAAATGTGACTTATAAATATTACTATTAATATTCTGCGTTCCATAGTATATTCAGTATTACGTTTTGCTCATCGTAATCCGTAATTGTACAAATAGGCATCTACTTCAGTACCGTTTCGTTTCGGAGAGAACCACAAAATACTTATCGTAGTGGTGACGTTAGTGCGTGTCGCCGTGTACGTTTCATGGTAGCAGGCATAGGGTCGGCTGCTCGCTATCGTTCGCCTCGCCGGTCACCAGTGCTGCGCGATCAGCTCACCCGCATGCTACATGCGCGGTTATAAAATTAAATTATTTTTTAGTTTCGCTAATTGAACAAACATGCCAGTTTATTTACAGTGACGTTGTGTGAAACTAATTTATGTACGTACTATGTCGGTGGAAAACTGCCATTGATTTGTACACAGGTGAATAAAACGTTAGATATACAATACACACGTTCCTATATAATGCATAATCTAAACCGTTTAGTTGTTCGTTGACGGGTTGACGGAAAAGCTAGTCTTGTACTACTTACTAACCGTTAGGCGCCTTTATTGGATTTATTTTATCTTTTTATGGTATAAACTGATAGGTCTCTTTAACGTAGTGATGTGAAGATTACGTTTGAATATTTTCATGGATATCACGATATGCTTGAATTACAGCAACGATTTCAGTTGGCAATTTACCAAAGATTAAAATTTTAATTCGTATTGGTTATTTGTTATATGTTAATGTTTTTAACTATGTAATCGTAGTCACTAAAATATGATACCGAGTAAGTTGATAATAGACTTTTAATTAGGTAGTATAAACCATTCTATTTTTATTTTAGAATATCTAGATTGTGATTACCTATTGATATTATTGTTTACAGCGACTGATTTTAAATTTAAATAACGGAGCTTAAACATAGCGTTAATTTTAGATAAGAAAAAGTTTAATTTATTTCATCAACTTTTTATACTTTAAAATTATAACATACCTATTGTACCTTTAGTCTGTGTTTATGAATATTTTTGCAATGTAATAAATAAATTGTTGAAAACAATGAAATGATATTGAAATGAAATGAAATGCTTGAAATATGCTATGAATGTGGTACATAATGGGATGAAATCAATGACAATAAGTAACTTGCACATTCAGCCAGTTTGACATGCAAAATTTTTATACATAATTCATAATATATTTGTATAGTATTGTCGTAAATATTCATTTTATAATGTCAATTTCATGCAACTTGTCAAAAATAAAATCTTTGTAAAAGTGGCGATATAAATCTTCATTTTGACATGAAACAATTTTTTTTTTAATCAAACCCATACAATGTAAAATTTCTACTAGCGACACTGCTAACAGAAATATATTTACATTGTCTTAGTGATTTTCTATAGTTAAGTAGAAAGCTATATCTTATTTTTGTTTAAATTTGTATTTTTAGTTCCTGGTTGTAAATATCTATATTTTTATTTGTATTTCACATGGATATATTTTTGTATAGTAGGTAATTAGTTGTTTTTATATGTAAATCATAATGTAAAATGAGCTGAAAATATCTGTATATATATATATATATATATATATATATATATATATATATATATATATATATATATAATATCAAGAATCAATGTCAAAAATTAAAGGCCTAAATCTTTTTATTAGTGAAAGTGTTCTTAAGTAGGTTAATGAATACACTTACTTTAGTTCTTCGATCATGAGTTTACAATTTATAAATGTAAAAGTTTATTTATTTTGTCACCGATTCCATTTATTCTGATGTCAATCATCAAAAATTGAAGATAGGTATTTAGCAGACCTAAAGTCTCGAAATTGGCATTATCTTTTCATAAATATTTAAATCCTCTAGTAAATTTTTATGATATAATTAGTTTGCATAGATAAGAAAATTGTTTAAACTTATAATTCACAGCATATATTTACAGCATTATCAAAAAGAAAAGAAAAAACTACGTCGTGTATACTATTTATTTGTATCAAACCAATTTTAGCTTGCGTTTTCAGTTGCTGTATGTTATTACCTATTTGCTTAATAAAACTTATTGTGTAACCAATTACGTCGAACGTAAAGTTTCTATGCCAACGGGAACAACTCTTCTGGTTTTTGTGATTAATCATATCAATATGCAGTTTTGTGTAGTTTGCATGGCCACGACTATTCAGTAATTCAGTCAGGATGAGTAAAATAGTTCACTTCAGTATTAAATTTTCCCATATAAATCTTATTGTATTTAAAATAAATTTAATTGATAAGGTTCATACAAGTTCTGCAACTGTACTTATTTTACACTTGATAACATTTTATAGATAAACCGACCGTGATGTATGGATGAACGGACATCGAAGATTCGGTATAACAATGCCTTTTTGCTATTTTAATAAGAAATCTTAAAAACTTCACACGTAATCAATGGACGTGTACAGAAAGAAATTGTACAAATCAATATCTATAAATATCCTCGTAAATTATACTTGCAAATGATAATCAGAAAATGAATCCTATTCTATCTTATCTACATAGTAATGTATCATTATGTCGTAATTTCAGAGTTCAGTTTACATTGTTATATTCCATTCAACCAAATAATATATTAAATAGGTCTGCTCGTGACGTAATGTTGTGTTCATAATAATAGCGGTGATAGTTCAGTTCGAAATGACCTCGACTCCTATTTCAGGGGCCGCCAGTTCGATATGTGCTTGTAAAGTTCTGTTTATGACATGGTTATTCGGATATCGACATACTACACAAATCGTTTTACATGAAGTGCAAGTACGTTTAACCAGTGTGGTTTTAGCGGTTGTATATTATTTGGTAACAAAAACATTACCCTCTTTTGCGTCACGCAGTCGGATAAAAAAATATAACACGTTGGTGTTGTAAATGTCCATAAGCTACGTTAATCTTTTATCTGACGAATTTTTATTTGCAACTAATATAAGAATATAAGAAAGAATTTAAAGTTGCTGGCTTTTTTTAACCATTGTAAATAAAAGATCATACGTCACGAAATTGCGATTTTAAAAAACCGGTTAACGACTATAAATAAATATCAATAAATCATAAGTAAACTTTAAAACCTGTCGAACACTATTTCATCTAATGCCAAGCGTTCACTTGTAAATAGTTGACATTTAAATAATTCTCTACTCATAGATACAATCAGCATCAGATATAACTCTAAACGTCTCCCACAATGATGTGTAATATAAATACTTTTATTTAACAAGTACGTAACAAAAGTACATAAATGCGTAACAAAGTCACAGGAAATCCGACTGTTAAGTTAGTTTTTAACGTCAGGTTGACTACTTTTTACTGTTTTACTGTGTACAAGTGCATACTTACTATATGTAGATTAATTTTTAAACAATATCCATAAGGAATAGGTTTTCTATTTGTCTGATTTTTATGGCTATGTTACGTCGTTCTTGCTGAAGTAAAAGCTACTAAAATATTAAAAATATTTTCAATGTGTCGAAAAATCTCATCGTCTATCGGTGTGTGTTTATGAATTTAGTGGTGGTTTTTATGCTGAACAAAATGCACCTATTTTCAATGTATTAATGTCTTTAGTGGAATAATGTTAAATGTGCATACTTATATAATAATAATCAATATACTGTTTAATTCCATGTTGAAGGTAATTATCATATGTATAAGATCACGCTCGCGTGTATTCGAATTTATTAGACCAAGGAGAATGATTGAATTACATTTTATTGCACTACTATTTTATTCGAGTTGAATGACCATCAACGTATTTAATTGTTTGTAAAGTTATTAGGATTTATGTACCTTCTACAATTAGATGTTTCGCTGACTTCACAATTTTTTGTCATACGATGTGGTTCATAAGAAGTTACTACATTTTATTTATGTAATTGAAGATATATATATACTACGGACATGATAAAATGTACGTAGTGTATATATGGCATCCTTAATACATCCATGCTTCACGATAAAATTAGATGACGGTGTGATACGGTCAGCATCAAAAGTCTATCAATTAATCAATCATAGCTCATTGTGTCCCACCGTTAGACAAAGGCCTTTCTGAACTGCTTACATCTGCACGATCGCTGGTTAAGCTATACTAGTCTGTGAAACCGCTCAAGTTCGTCTCCATTGCATACAAGGTCTTCCGCAACTTCTTTTTTGTTTTTCAGAGAGTCAAGATGTGAATTTGAATTTTACTATAATTCATTGTGTAAATGCTAGTAATATTGACCTTTTCAGTTCTCCTTTGTCTTATATAAATAAAACAAATAAGATTGCCAATATAACGAACATAGATGAACAAGATCCAACGATGTTTAATGGATATGTCTATAGATGTTCAATGGATTTTGATGCCGACTGTATTTAAACTATTATCTACAAAAAGTAGGTGTGTATATGCTTCGTAAAATAGTGATAATACTAGTTATTTGACTTATTTGCTGTGAACGCGAATTGCGTCATACATATATGAAGAAATTTACGTGATAAGACTGCACCTATTTTCAATCTATGGTTATCGAGATTAGCGCCGGCATATAAACAGTGCTGCGCCGGCGCTCATTTCATATTATCTCTATATATAGATTATAAAATGGTTTCTGTTTGTTCATTAACTGTACTTGGCATGAAATGATAGATCGATTAGATTTTAGCACGACTTTGACACCAATATCATTAGGTCAAGAGATAATTAATTATGTATATTTAATTTTTTTCTACATGTTTAGATCAGTTAATATTAGGTTTTTTTCGTTCGCTGTGTAATTATTAGAATATGATTATGATATAGAATATGACCTGTAATAATTTGCAATAATTTTATATTAGAATAATAGAATTCTAACCGTTATTAGTGTTTAAGATAATAATCCGTTTAAAATTGATGAAGATATCCTAAACAAAGGGGTTGCCAAAGTGTGTGGTTGACACTGCGTTGAGGCGCTTTCTCACAAAATACTATTCTTGTAAGTGCGTTGCTAATTAAAATAATTTAGAAACTACATTTAAAAATATGATCTTCAAATTGGAAACCTCCTCCTAATTTTTTTAATAATATTATTTCTTTGATATTTATATGCCAATGTCATTATCTAATCAATTGTAGTAAATTATACGTATTCCCTATTAATTGTATATAGTCACTATATTGCCAATTTAACAAAAGTACGTTTATAATCTTTTTTCACATCATCATGAATAGGGTGAAGTGTTAGTATCTATAAAGTATTGCGATATTGTATCTAAGTTTCATTGATGGTCAAAAAAAAAATAGGGAAATATGATATAAGGATTACAACGTTCAAATGAATTATTGAGCTGTGGCCTTAAATTAATCTTTAATACAATAAAAAAAATTACTCATACTCTTAATCGTCACCTTTACCAGTTCTTGTT